GGTTGATGCTGATGAGACCTTTGAGGAAGGACCGGTGTGCATCATGGATTGCCGGGAGAAGGTTTTACGAGGCAAGACCATGCGGCTAGTGAAGATGCTGTGGCAGCACCGAGAAGTGGAGGAGGCGACATAGGAGTGCGAGGACACTATCCGTACCAACTATCCCTTCTTATTTCAGGATGGAGGTACACTTTTATAGTCTTATAGTACTGCATAACTGTTACATATGCATGCAGTTAAATGTATGTGTGTGTGTGTGAATTTCGGAGATGAAATTCTTTTAAGGGGGGAAGAATGTAAAACTCGATAAATTTAAACTTTTGTAAACAATGGCAAGACGGTAATTTTGCCGCTACAGTACGGGTTAAAAACTTAAATTTTTCTAGATCTCGAATGACAAAACAAACCTCACCATTGGATTCGTCTTGCAAAATCTAGTTACCACGTCAAACTTCATCGAATTCTGAAACAGTCCAATTTTTTGAATTTTTTACATATGCATGCAATTTTTTGAACCGGGACGAAATTTAATCGTTTTGAAATGAAAATGAACCCGAAAATAAAATGGTCATGTGGTGCGTTGTGGGCCAAGTATTCTAAGAGTATAAATANTTATCAGACGAACATACAAATGACACCCTATGAGGCATTATATGGGAGGCCTTGTCGATCTCCGGTATGTTGGATAGAGGTGGGAGAGAGACCCTCTACAGGTCCAGATTTAGTTAGAGACACCTCGGAGAAGGTGGATTTGATACGAAAACGTCTTCTTATGGTTCAGAGCCAACAGAAGAGCTATGTCGACAGACGGCGGCGACATCTGGAGTTTGGGGTAGGAGATCATGTTTCTTCAAGATTATGCCTAAAAGAGGAGTGGTCAGGTTTGGTAAGCGAAAAAAGTTATTTTCGAGGTATGTCGGGCTTTTTGAGGTACTTGAGAGGGTTGTTACAGTTGCTTATTGGTTGGCATTACCGCTAAATCTATCGGGTGTTCATGCGATATTCCATGTCTCTATGCTCCGGAAATACACCTCAAATTTGACTCATATGGTGGATTGGGGAGAGCTTGTGGTTGATGCTGATGAGACCTTTGAGGAAGGACCGGTGTGCATCATGGATTGCCGGGAGAAGGTTTTACGAGGCAAGACCATGCGGCTAGTGAAGATGCTGTGGCAGCACCGAGAAGTGGAGGAGGCGACATAGGAGTGCGAGGACACTATCCGTACCAACTATCCCTTCTTATTTCAGGATGGAGGTACACTTTTATAGTCTTATAGTACTGCATAACTGTTACATATGCATGCAGTTAAATGTATGTGTGTGTGTGTGAATTTCGGAGATGAAATTCTTTTAAGGGGGGAAGAATGTAAAACTCGATAAATTTAAACTTTTGTAAACAATGGCAAGACGGTAATTTTGCCGCTACAGTACGGGTTAAAAACTTAAATTTTTCTAGATCTCGAATGACAAAACAAACCTCACCATTGGATTCGTCTTGCAAAATCTAGTTACCACGTCAAACTTCATCGAATTCTGAAACAGTCCAATTTTTTGAATTTTTTACATATGCATGCAATTTTTTGAACCGGGACGAAATTTAATCGTTTTGAAATGAAAATGAACCCGAAAATAAAATGGTCATGTGGTGCGTTGTGGGCCAAGTATTCTAAGAGTATAAATAAGGAAAAAAATCAGATTTTTCCCCAATTTCTTCAGCCAGCCATTTACGTTGAGAGAAAGAGAGGAAAAACTCTATCTTCTCTCTACGATCTACAAGGTTACGGTGCCCAAATCCACTCGGGGTAAGAACAAAAGTCGGTCTCCTCGTCGAGGGCTACACAACCACACCAAAAACGAGAGATTTCATCGAAATTTCAAAACCAAGCTTGGTGGAATCAAGGGCTTGGGGTGAGAATGAGTCTTAAGGGCTTCTACCAAGTGGGTTTACCCTTCAAGAGGTATGGTTCCTTCCNGTCGAGGGCTACACAACCACACCAAAAACGAGAGATTTCATCGAAATTTCAAAACCAAGCTTGGTGGAATCAAGGGCTTGGGGTGAGAATTTGAGTCTTAAGGGCTTCTACCAAGTGGGTTTACCCTTCAAGAGGTATGGTTCCTTCCTACTTGGGTTTATTTTACAACCTAAAGTGTTATATGTAATGGGTGGATGGATAGCTATATATATTACTTGTCTATGGTTGTGAAATTGATGGAATTAGGTGATTGGTGAATTGAGTATGTGAATTTGACCTAATTAAAGTAAGATTCCTAGATTGGAATTGGTGGGTTGTAATTATTTTGTAATTCTATGGAAAATGGGTGTTATGTAGACATGCTATATGTTTTATATCATGTTTTGTGCATGAGGTGAAAATTCTTGTGTGATAACATGAATTGTTGCCTTGAAGGTGTTTGCCAAAATGCCTATGTGTGGATTGAGTTGTTATGATATGATGATGTATAACATGCTTCGAAAATGTGTTAGACAGGAATGTTAGTATGTGCTCATTGAGATATTGACATTGTGATAATTTATGAAATTTATATGCTTATGATATGAATTTCCATATAACATGTGGACATGTGGTTTAAAATTGCTCATATGACATTCATTACATGTGGGCATGATATTAGAATGGCAATGATGCATTACATTGCATATACACATAGACATCACATTTTATGGGTATAGGTGCATGGTTGACATCAAAAACCACGTAGGTGGACGATAGGTGGACTCGAAAAAGTTGGATTGAATGTCCGACTAAGTCGAACGGTTGTATGAAAAAGACTTGGGTTGGGGTAGCAAGAAGGGTTAGACCATCCCTCGGGCGAGAGACCCGATATTTGGATACGCATTTCCGTTGGTACAAGAGCCCATAAAGTGTGTCGGTGTACGCGGAACCGTTGATGGAAGTCCATGAATTCCGTGTCGGATGGGTGACCATTGGTGTAAGTCCATAAATACTCACCCCAAGAACTACCCGAAAGTTTTAGTTAGCCATTGGGTGTGTAAAACAAATGACGGGGCCTTGGAGAGCCCGATTTTGATACTCACTGCATAGCATGAGGTGAAGGTAGATAGCCGGAGCTAGAAAAGCTCGATGTTAATACACATTGGCATGACATGTGTTGTGGAGTCGGGAAGGGCTCGGGTAAATTGTATGAATGAGCATCATCTCATTTTATGGCATGATATGTGAGATTTTAAGCTTGACTTGCTTAAGTGTTGGTTGGAATGATTGTTGTTGTTAAATGTTGCATGTGAATATTGCATATGCATTTAGGTTGGGGAGTAGCTCTTGTAGGAAATACTCTACTGGGCGTTGGCTCACCCTATACAGGAAATATTTCAGGTATGGAGCATATTCCAGTGGATGACACACATTCGGGGCCTCAAAGGTGAAGAAAGAGCCGAGTTGTGGCTCTTAAATCGAGTTTTTGTAAAACTTTTGGTTTAAATTCCATTTTGACATGTAAATTGTATAGAATGAGTTGTAATAGACTTGCATGAATTATGTATATTGTAGANAAATCGAGTTTTTGTAAAACTTTTGGTTTAAATTCCATTTTGATATGTAAATTGTATAGAATGAGTTGTAATAGACTTGCATGAATTATGTATATTGTAGAAAATATCTTTATACATGTTTGAGATGGATTTGAGAAGGTTTGGGAAGAATTGGAAATGAAAAACCGATGAAATATGAAATTCTAGACAAAACCTACCGGTAGCAGGCAACAACTACCGGTAGTTAACAGGTAGTTTATGTTCGGCAGGAAATAACTATCGATAGCTAGTAGGTAGTATCTGTTCAGTAGACAATAACTACCGGAAGTTAACAGGTAATACCTATTCAGCAGACAATAACTACTAGTAATTAATAGGTAGTACCTATACAACAGTTAATAACTACCGGTAGCTAACAGGTAGTACATGTACAATAGACAATAACTACCGGTAGCTAACAGGTAGTACCTGTCCAGTAGGAGGAAGGTACCGGTAGCTTACAGGTAGAACTTCTACCGGTAGCTATAACAAACATATACCGGTAACTCTTTCAAAAATCTGAAAAATCTAAAATTGTTATGCTAACCTTTTGAACTTTGTTTTCTTTAGTTCCAATGATACGAATGGACATTAAATGATGTATATTGAGGCTCATTGGACCTCCATTGAACTAAATGATTATAGGAACATGGGTTATACGTGTAAGTTATGATCCCGGTTATAGGGATGCGATAGACATGATGTCGAGCCATGCGACATTCACGGGTATTTTCGTGGGTTGACGGATGGTCAACGAGACCCTCGATTTTAGGGGCGTCACAATCACAAAATCAAAGATTATTGGAAGTATCAAATACCTTTTTTCTTTTGCGTAGGAGAGGCTCTGAGATGACCCTCTACATCATGACAAAAAATAGACACGAGAGAAATCTACTTTTTCACTAATTTGTGTTTAAAACTCAAATTCAGTGAAAAGTAAGCGTTATTTTGGAAAAATTTGGTGCCCAAACTACCTTTAACTATTTGACATGGTAGACCTCAAAAAAATAGACAGATCCAAAAAAAAATTCCCCTAAAACGGAAAACTAAGCGCAAAGCTATGATCGTTCAAAATTTTGTTATTTTTTCATTATTTTGTAATACTGCAGCCAGCGCCAGAAGACTAGTGCCCAAGCGCCAGCACCCATGCGCCCAGCGCCTTAGGTGCTACCCAGTGTCCTAGGCTTCGCCCTCATTTCCTTTGGTGTTGCATAACAGCTTGGCTGGGGTCGCCTAGCAACCTAGTTGGTGTCGCCCAATAGATTGTTGGCATTGCCCAGCTTGCTAGAATCAACCAACAGCTTGGTTGGCGTCTACTAGCAGTCTGGCTAGAGTCGCCCAACAGACTATTGGCATTGCCTAGCTTGTTTGCATGGCCTAGCTTCCTTTCGCTAACGGCTAGAATCTTATTTTTGCTCACACAGCCGTCTACATAGCCCAGACATGAGCGTCACGCATCACAGACTTCAACATCACCATCTGTGCCCATCGCGCCTTTGGTGTCGCCTTTGTTGTTGCTGGTGTCGCCAATCGTAGCGTCGTCGCCCATACTGCAGCCTCTTGAATGAACAATGCTTGTGTAAGGAACGCCACCCAAGTCTCCATTAACCTCACCTTCAAATACACTAGAGGCGTCGCCTAGACCATTATTCACACTAGCGGCATTGCCAAAGCCAACTTTGGTGCGAGGGGCGTTGCCCAACCCATCTGCCTTGCCCAGTTCGCCACGTGGATCGATGCCTATCATGTCGAGCATGCCTAAGTAGTTGCCCTGTTTGTTGCAAATCACACCCATCCTACCGTAGCCAGATCTAGCCACTCCAGCGTTGCCTTGGCCTCTGCTAGCTTTGGTGTCACCCAGCTCCACGCAATGGATGACGCCGCTATGCCTAGGATGAATGTTAGAACCTCCTCCACTGATGCCGCTCATCATCGTGTCATGACAAGCACCGATTCAACCTATGGCATTGCCCCTTTTGTTGGTGCTGCCCATCGACGAGTCACGCCAGATGTCTCCTCTACCCAAGGCATCGTTCCCCCTACTGGCATCGCCCACTAGAGCATGCTTGGAACTGCTTCTACCCAAGGCATTGCCCTCTTCATCCCCGCCGGCATCGCCCTCCTCATCCTTGCTGGCGTTGCCAAGCCGTTTCTTGCGCTGAGCACTGACGTCTGCTTTATTTCTGGTGCAGCCCCCGCAAAGCTGGTCATCTTCCTTGATGAGTGGTGCCCCCATGGGTGGATCTTCGCTGGACGACGACGACGAGGTACCGCCAATGCCAGTTTTCATGTATGACCCAGTTGTTGTGGCTTCGAATGATGTCGTCGAAGTACCTCTGGTCTCCATCATCTTGGTGAAAGTTCTTTGTGATCTACAAAAGCAGAGAAAGGTGTTTAGCCCAATCCTAAGTATGATGGAAAAATAAGGAAATTGAGTTTTTCAAGGATCTGTACATATGACCTCTAGAAACCCTATGGAAAATGTCTTACCTGGGTAAAGAGGATTTTGATATTGAATCCTCTCTAATCTAGTAACAACACAATGGGTGTCCAACAATAAAATAGGGGAAACGAAGAAGCCACCTTGGGGCACAAGATACCTTTTGCCTATTCAGAGCGTGGCCTTGCCCTCAACCCTTTTTTTTGTTACAATTGGGGCTTAGGGCATGAGGGGCAAATGATGAGCCTAGATTTAGCTAGGTCCAAGCCCAATTCATGGGTAAACCCAAATTAGCTATAAAGCAAGTGAAGCCCAACCAATCGGCCCAGTCCAAAGTTCAAGGAATCTAAGAAGATTGCGCACGTAGAGAGTATTTACCGGGATATCCACTACTCAAAGATCAAGACTATCTTTAATTGTACATATCCTTAGCTGTAGCTATCCTCCCCTAAAGATTAGTAACATATCCTTTACGCCGCCACTTCAACTAAGACTCTGTGCCAGTAAATTGTAAGTCCTCTGCACATAGAAGGAATCTCTATACACCTTTTACACAACTATCGCTCTCATAACTATCTAGAGCGTATCATTGCTCTTTCTCTCCCACCTATTATTTTATCAATAAAGTCCTCCAGCCACCGTCATCGCTTTCATTGTGGAGTAGGTCACGCTGATCGAACCACTCTATATCTGTGTTGCTTGTGTGNGCTCTCATAACTATCTAGAGCGTATCATTGCTCTTTCTCTCCCACCTATTATTTTATCAATAAAGTCCTCCAGCCACCGTCATCGCCTTCATTGTGGAGTAGGTCACGCTGATCGAACCACTCTATATCTGTGTTGCTTGTGTGATCTCATCTTTATATTTACTGTATTTATTACATATATTAATTACTCGACAAGTGGTGCATAAATCCACTTTTGTGTATCATCACGTACCATCATATTATTCATCCAAAATACATTCATGCATAGATGCATACCACTTAAGTGGCTGCCCATGGTCCCTAAATTATTAAATTCTTGAGGGCCCCAATTTTGACGTAGCTTGAGTTCAACCTGCTTTTTAGGTATAATCCAATTTTTTTAATAACATTTGTGGAAATATATAAGATTGTTACTTATACCACTCGTACACCTCAAGCCCCCCCTCTGTCTTCTATTTCTCTCTCTCGAACACCATAGAAAGCTCTAATGGATCTTATTCACTTTCTCTAATCTGTGATGATCTTTTCAATTTTTCTTGTTGGATTGGAAGGGGGACATAAGTTAATGGAACAATTAATCACTCAAAGATTTACAAAAAAGAAAGAGATCAGACGATTAAGTAGAGAAAAAGAAAAACAGAAGATAAGATAGACAATTTTTTTCCTTTCTTAAGCATTCTATCACTAACAAAAATGAGATGAATGTCATTAGCATTTCTTTTTTTACTTTCGAGTTCAAAAGGCGAGCAAATAATAAAAAATAAATTTTTGAAGAAGTGAGAATGATTTCTTTTACATACTTTTTTACTTTAACAACAAAGTTTATGAAGACAACAAAATAAAATCCTAGTACATAAGAATTCTAATTCATTTTTAGCAGTCAATTTTTCAAGAAATAGACAATTATACTTTGTAGAACACCTATAAGTATCCTATTTAAATTATATCTCATTGTACTGGCCCCCCAATCTCAAAGGGCATCCACGTTACTTTCTTAACAATGTAGTTTATTTGTATTAAAATATTATAAGTTGTATACTCTTTTGGTAAGTGTGGAATAACTCTTTTTACCCAATTCCCTTATTAGAATTTCAGTTATACCAAACTTCCACAGAAAGACTTTTCTCTCCCACCAAAACATAATCTCTGCTGGAACAGTAAGGAAACCATAACTATCCACCCAAATCTCAGTAACATACAAAAACATAAAAAAAGTAAAGAATTTTTTAAAAAATACATACAGAAAGTAATTACAATGAAATTCAGGCAAAGCAAAGGAAGGGTAGAGAATTTTAAAAAAAAAATGGAACGGGAGCGAGGCAGGGAGTTATTTTTTAAAAATTGGAACAGGNTTAAAAAATACATACAGAAAGTAATTACAATGAAATTCAGGCAAAGCAAAGGAAGGGTAGAGAATTTAAAAAAAAAAATGGAACGGGAGCGAGGCAGGGAGTTATTTTTTAAAAATTGGAACCGGGTGAGAGAGGCAGTCATTATAAAACGACACAACCATTCTCTTTCTCGTATATAGGAACATACAACACACTCTACTATTCTAGGGAGAGAGAAACAAAGATTGATTGGTTGAGTGTATTATTGCAAGGGGAAATCCAAAAGGAGAAACTCTAAACAACTTTTGTCAGAGTAAGTGTCTTGACACTTTTCACGAGCTCAGGGGTTTGTGATCTTATTCATCGGGAGAGAGCATTGTTGGAATTATCACCACTGATTTAATGGTGATAAAAAAAACGTAGACTCATCAAGAAAGTTAATGGACGAGAGTGTTGCCAAAATACTGTTCCTAAAAAGTATCATCTCAATTTCGTATTTTTAACATCCATATTTATGTGTTCATATGTTTTTATGTTTGAGAACTTTTAAAGGATTGACCATATATTGTTAATGTTTGTCTATTTCTTTTCCGTATTGGCTTCTTTCCTCCAAGATTAATAGCTTATAACGCGAATTGCGATGTAGGACTATCATCTGTTGAATATGATTTGCATACACATATATTAGTACTTTATTTATATACCAAACTACATGTATATCCCTTTTACAATATAGAAATTTTTTATTCTTTTTTCTTTGACANAGCTTATAACGCGAATTGCGATGTAGGACTATCATCTGTTGAATATGATTTCCATACACACATATATTAGTACTTTATTTATATACCAAACTACATGTATATCCCTTTTACAATATAGAAATTTTTTATTCTTTTTTCTTTGACAAAATTAATTTTTTGTTTTACAAATTATTGAAACAAAGTGTTAGTAAGCCGGATCTTTGTTTTTAAATGGGTTGAAAACAAAATCATTCAACTGAGAAGTCACTATCAATTACTAATTACTATAGCTTTTACTGTTAGTGTCACCCTTTCCTAATATGTGAAGCAACCAAGTGAATGAAATATATTGACTCTTCCCAATTTATCCTGCAGGACTACTTCCATAGAAAGAAGCTTGAAGATGATTGCTGCTGAATTTTACATCCCAAAGGACAACAAGCTGAAGCCTCTAGGGGAGGATACTCACTTCATTTATGCAGAGAAGCAGACCATTGGTGTTGCAGATAGTGTCGGTGGCTGGGCAAGAAAGGGCGTGGATGCAGGCGAATATGCCCGAGAACTCATGGCTAATGCTGTCTATGCAGTTGAAGATCAACCTAAGAGCACTGTTAATCAAAGATGGTCTTAAATGAAGCCTTCTTAAACACTGAGGTTAGAGGATCATCAACCGCTTGCATTCTTACACTTAAAGGCCACTGCTTGCACACTGTGAATGTAGGAGACGGTGGATTCGTGGTAATCAGAGAGGGAAAATTCATATATCAGTCACCGGTGCAACAACATAGATTTAACAGTCCCTATCAGTTGGGAAACACAGATGATAGCCCAAGTTTAGCTGAGGAGTTTGAAGTTGTAGTAGAAGCCAGGGACATCGTCGTTGCTGGAATTGATGGATTGTTCGATAACTTGCATTCAGCAGAGACCGAGGATATAGTGAGTGTGTGTTTGAGACAAGGTAACATGCCGGAGCTATTAACTTGGACCATGTCAAAGGTCGCTTGGGTAAAATCTCTAGAAGAATGGACTGACAGTCCATTTGCAATGGCCACCCACGATGCAGGAATTGACCACAGGGGAGGCAAATATGATGATGTTAGAGTGGTTGCAGCCTGCCTTCTCTCTGCAGGGTGATTCTAGAATGTAATTTTCTCAAGTGCTTACAATTGGAAAGCATAAACTTGAAACTAATAGAAAAAAAGTCTATTTGTAATGCTCTAAAATATACCAAGNCTTCTCTCTGCAGGGTGATTCTAGAATGTAATTTTCTCAAGTGCTTACAATTGGAAAGTATAAACTTGAAACTAATAGAAAAAAAGTCTATTTGTAATGCTCTAAAATATACCAAGTTCTTTGTGTTATGTTCATTGATTCCTGTAATTGGTTTAATCTTCTGGTTTATATTCCATGAAGTTGCTATCTATGATGNAGTTCTTTGTGTTATGTTCATTGATTCCTGTAATTGGTTTAATCTTCTGGTTTATATTCCATGAAGTTGCTATCTATGATGTGAAAGTTCTTTGTGTTTAAACACAAATTGGAAGGAAATGACAGAAGACACCCAAGAGCTGGACTGTCAAGGAGAAAGGGATCCTTCTTAAGAAGGTTTTGAAAGAGACCACAGACTCACATAAGAATTGAGTAAACCTTGACAGTAATCATGGTCAAAACTCATGTTTCCTTTCTTCTATTTTATTTTTTCCTTTTTTGCCCTTGTTTTGTTGGTGGAAGGGGGTGGTGTCTGTCAAGGATTCAAGTTTCAGCCTTTGCCCATGCCATTGATCTTGCCTAGTACTAGTCCAAGAAAGCACGAAAGCAGAGTTTACTTTCCATAAAACTCGAAGTCATGTACCCCGATTAGTCCTTCACACAATTAACACGGAAATTTAATTATCGTATTTATGAGTCATTACAGAACACATCTACAAGGAGATATTATTTTTGTATGATTGTTTAAAATGCACAGGTAAAGAGATGAGAAGCAACTCGGTAAAAACGATGTTTGTTCGACTGATATTTTGGGCTATGGATAACTCATTGTGGATTTGAGAAAGTATATGGTGAAGTATTGTTGGAATATTTCATACTTCTGTTTTCTATGGTGTACCCTGATGATAATACGCAAGAAAATTAGATTGATATATAGTAGGCAATAACATGATAGAAGGTGATGCGACATGGTTNGCAAGAAAATTAGATTGATATATAGTAGGCAATAACATGATAGAAGGTGATGCGATATGGTTTAAGGAATTGCTCTGCATCGGCACAATGACAGAGCAAAGTCAGAAAAGAGAGGCCAGAATATAATGGTCACAAAGAGAACATTGACGGGCCTCAATCTCGCATCAGGCTGGGAATTGTTGTCATCACTTACTTAGAGGAAGGATCACTGCCCACAATCTAAAGGAACAGAAACAGAATAACTATTAAGTTAATTCATATAAACTGGTTTTTGACATGGTTTTTAAGAAATTAATTTAAAATTACTTTCAAGGTTTTTAAGGTTTTTATAATTAAACAGAATAACACTGTTAAAAGTATTTTTGGGATTTAAAAAAATAGTGGACTTAAGTACTTATTAGTAAGATAAAAAATAGACTTATCACCAAATAAGTTTTCTTGACGGATTCAAGTCATTATAAGTCCATTAAGGAGGATTCAACTCTAATTTTCACAAGAATTAAAAAACTAAGCCCACTTAAACAAAATAAAAAATAAAAAATATTGAGCCCCACCACCACTTAAACAGAAGACTCGAACTAAGTACGAAACCCGGTTGAATGCATCCTCAATTTTTTTTCTTAATATTACATATATGTATTTTAAATAATTCTTTAATATTTTAATTATGCCTACCTTATTTTTTTGGCACATCAATTAGTGTACACTTATATCAAAATTGCTCTGCATCGGCACAATGACAGAGCAAAGTCAGAAAAGAGAGGCCAGAGTATAATGGTCACAAAGAGAACATTGACGCGCCTCAATCTCGCATCAGGCTGGGAATTGTTGTCATCACTTACTTAGAGGAAGGATCACTGCCCACAATCTAAAGGAACAGAAACAGAATAACTATAAGTTAATTCATATAAACTGGTTTTGACATGGTTTTTAAGAAATTAATTTAAAATTACTTTCAAGGTTTTTATAATTAAATAGAATAACACTGTTAAAAGTATTTTTGGGATTTAAAAAAATAGTGGACTTAAGTACTTATTAGTAAGATAAAAAATGGATTTATCACCAAATAAGTTTTCTTGACGGATTCAAGTCATTATAAGTCCATTAAGGAGGATTCAACTCTAATTTTCACAAGAATTAAAAAACTAAGCCACTTAAACAAAATAAAAAATAAAAAATATTGAGCCCCACCACCACTTAAACAGAAGACTAGAACTAAGTACGAAACCCGGTTGAATGCATCCTCAATTTTTTTTCTTAATATTACATATATGTATTTTAAATAATTCTTCAATATCTTAATTATGCCTACCTTATTTTTTTGGCACATCAATTAGTGTACACTTATATCAAATGAATATGAATTTTTTGACACATTTTAGGCATATTATGTACTTATTTAGATAAATTTCGAATATATTAGAATCATTTTATACTTTCTAAGACTAGAAAAGATATGATATACATATTTGCTAGTTTACTTGTGATTTTGACATTTATTTTACTAATTACAGTAGACATTATAGATTGCGCATTGAACTGTATAATCGAATATGTGATAAATACCGAAGTAATAACATAATTGTGTACATAAAGAATAATAAAGTTGTTTTGCAATAATTTCCAAGGAGAAAAATTCACTAAAGTCAATTCTAAATAATTTTAATTAGCCTATATTTTTTAAAATGATATAATTAGTATTTTTTTTATTGTTGTTATTTTTTATATACTAGGCTTACTAATTTTTGGTCTATTGGGTTTAATGAACTTTTAAGTATTATAAATATGATGTAATTAAATATAAATTATTACTTTATTCTCTATCGATTGTAAGAAAACATATTTAGTTTGTTAAAATATTTGTGCTTACCCTGACACGATTTTTTGGCTCTACCCTAGCTATTGGAATATACAACGGAAACTTAATGACGTCGCATCTGACATGAATTTACCACATCATTAAAATTATGCCAACTAATTTAATCTTATTCTGACTCTCATTTCTTTAGGAGAAAATATTCATTATAACGGTGACATCATGTCATCAATTGTAACATGATATCACAGTTGTATTTAATATTTACTCCTTCTTTAGGTCTCTTACTTCGGTTTGATTCCTTCCCTCGCTACCATAAATTTTTATACGAGTGGAACACACCACTTGAGCCGTCATCATTAACTCTTGTAATTGTGGTTGGCGATAGTTTAATGCCCAATATAACGAGTAAATATTGGATTTAATGGCAATACTATGTTATAATTTATTGACATGTGATATCTACATTCAATCACTTGGGTATGACGAGGTTACTATAATATATGAAATCCACCTACTTATTTGTTATACTTTTATTCGATAGCGACATTATGTAACAATAATGACGTGATATTACCGTTATACCCAATATTTTTTCCAATACATAATGGCGAGGCTTAATTTCAAGGAAAAAAAGAAGCTAATAACAGCACAAGGTTCAAATACAAAAGTAACTAAAATTCGGGTGAGTCTCTCTCTCTTTTTCACATTCTATTTTTTGGTTTTTTTAGACCCCTAAAAGTTTGATTAAAAAAAATTAGACCTGGGAATCAATAGTATCAAATTTTATTTGTATAATCACTTGACTAATATAAAATCAAATTCTTTCACATTAATATTATTTATGCCTTGGAACTTATCATATATAACAAACTATATATACTTTTTATTCAATATAATGTTTTCAACTTGGTCAACTTAAAAATTGTTTTATGTTTTAGCTTTTTTTATATATAATTTGACGCTCTTTTAATAAATTAGACACATTTAGATTTGTATTGAGTTTGTTCAAATTTTTTTCTGTTGTCAATATAACAATATAAAATATCACTCAAGAGCCTGATATCAAACTTATAATTTATGGGTGGGGTTATTTTCACCCCTTAAATCTCTTTTTTCAATTCATTTAATCATGTTATTTCAAATTACTAAATTCACCTTATCTATTGTCACACCATTAGTTATTACGTTTACCTCATTTATATTCATTCAATTAAACTATTAAATATATATCGAAGAAACCGAAATCAAAATAATAATTGAAACGAAATTTAAATGTTCCAAGTGATTTATATTATTTTGAGGTGTTTTGAGATATTTTGATGTATTTCTCCGACGTCTTTGGAATATTTTGAGGTGTTTTAAGATATTTTAAGTATATTTTGACTAATATAGTAAAAATAATAATTATTTTTTTATTAATTTTTATTATACTTCTAAAATATTTTTTGTACTAAAATAATACATCAAAACAAAATTTTGATCATTGCCTATATAGTAGGGTGAAATAAAATTAAATGAATTTAATTTTTAATTAGTAAATATAGATGGGGTGGGTCTCATCTATACTCACTCCATTAATTAATTATTATACTAAACAAAAATGAATAAATCTTTATTTTATTATCGTATCATCTTTTAGGGCTTGAATTACTAAATTGATCAATTGAAATGATATAGTAAAAACAAGCTTAATCACCAAAACTTAACTAACAATTTCGAATCTCAAATAGTAAAACATAATTTAGAGGCCTGTGGAAGTAATTTTTTTTTTTTGTGTCTTAAGGTACCCTTATCTTTCTTGAAGAAGACTACGGTGCTGAAAAATAAAATTTTATACTTTTTTTTTAATTTTTGGATGAAATTTACAATTTTTATGGTAACTTGGGATCAATCCTAAATTATTTAGAATCGATTCTAAAAACTAACAAAAATAAGTTTTAACTTGAACTTTAAAAATCATAAAATTATAAATTTATTTTACCCTAAAAAAAATTCAATACCGTATCTCTAAAATTTACCATTTTAAAGTATATTTTTAAAATTTTTGGGGTTATTTTACAACCCAATCTCATTGTACTGGCCCCCCAATCTCAAAGGGCATCCACGTTACTTGCTCAACAAGGTAGTTTATTTGTATTAAAATATTGTAAGTTGTATAATCTTTTGGTAAGTGTGGAATAACTCTTTAGATTTTGACTCAATTCCCTCATTAGAATTTCAGTTGTAAAAAAACTTTTACAGAGAGGCTTTTCTCTCCCACCCAAACATAATCTCTGCTGGAACAATAAGGAAACCAAAGCAAAGCAAAGGAACGGCAGAGAGTTTTTAAAAAAAAACAACTGGAACAGCAGCGAGAGAGGCAGTCCTTATAAAACAACACTACCATTCTCTTTCTTGTATATAGGAACATACAACACACTCCAGGAAGAGAGAAACAAAGATCGATTGATTGTGTATTTTTGCGAGGAGAAATTCTAAACAATTTTCGCGAGTAAGTTTCTTTGCACTTTTTGCAGTTTGTGGGGTTTTTGATTGTATTCCTTGGGAGAAAGCATTGTTGGAATTATCACCATTGATTTAATGGTGATAAAGAAGCGTAGACTAATCAAGAAGGTTAACAAACAAGGGACTTGCCAAAATACTTTTCTTAAAAGGTATCATCTCAATTTCGTATTTGTTCATATGTTTTTATGTTTGAGAACTTTTAAAGGATTGATCATAGATCATTAATGCTTGTTTATTTATTGTCCTTATTGGCTTCTTTTCTCCAAGCTTAATAGCTTATAACGCGAAATATGATGTAAGTCTATAATATGTTGAATATGATTTGCAAACACACATATATTAGTACATTATTTATATGCCAAACTACATGTGTGCCACTTTTACAATATAGAAATTCTTTATTCTATTTTATTTGACAAAATTATTTTTTTGTTTTACAAATTATTGGAACAAAGTGTTAGTAAGCCGGATCTTTTTTTTTTAAATGGGTTGAAAACAAAATCATTCAACTGAGAAGTCACTATCAATTACTAATTACTATAGCTTTTGCTGTTAGTGTCACCCTTTTCTAATATGTGAAGCAACCTAGTGAATGAAATATATTGACACTTCTCTATTTATCCTGCAGGACTACTTCCATAGAAAGAAGCTTGAACATGATTGCTGGTGCGTTTTACATCCCAAAGGACAACAAGCTAAAGCCTCTAGGGGAGGATGCTCACTTCATTTGTGCAGAGGAGCAGACCATTGGTGTTGCAGATGGTGTCGGTGGCTGGGCAAGAAAGGGTGTGGATGCAGGCAAATATGCCCGAGAACTCATGGCTAATGCTGTCTGTGCAGTTGAAGATCAACCTGAGGGTTCTGTTGATCTGAAGATGGTCTTAAATGAAGCTTTCTTAAACACCGAGGCTAGAGGATCATCAACCGCGTGCATTCTCACAATTAAAGGCCACTGCTTGCACGCTGTGAATGTAGGAGACAGTGGATTCGTGGTAATCAGAGAGGGAAAAATCATATATCAGTCACCAGTGCAACAACATAGATTTAACAGTCCCTATCAGTTGGGCAACACAGCGGATAGCCCGAGTTTAGCTGAGGAGTTTGAAGTTGTAGTAGAAGCTGGGGACATCGTCGTTGCTGGGACTGATGGATTGTTTGATAACTTGCATCCAGCAGAGATTGAGGATATAGTTAGCCTGTGTTTGAGGCAACGTAACATGCCAGAGCTATTAGCTTGGACCATGGCAAAAGTTGCTCGGGAAAAATCCCTGAACGAATGGACTGATAGTCCCTTTGCAATGGCTGCTTATGATGCAGGAGTAGAACACTTGGGAGGCAAATATGACGATATTACAGTGATTGTCGCCTATATTCTTTCTCCAGATTTGTTCTAGCATGTAATTTCCTCAAATACTCACATTTAAAGAACACTGGCTGAACTCAAGAAAGGTGCAATGAAGCTTCAAGTCAATCAAAATCTGTTCAACACTGGCTGACATTGCTGACAAAAATGAGTACAGTCACGGGGAGACTCTAGACTTTTCGTGTATCTAGTGATTCATTTTAGGGCAGAGCAAGGAATGCCAAACAAAAGTGACAAGCTTGAATGGTTTTGGAAGAGAGACTCCATAGACTCACATAAGAATTGACCAAACCTTGCAAATAGTAGAAAAAACTAGTGTCTGTTCTATTGATCCTCTGGGATCTGGATAGCTCATTGTGGATTCTGGATGTGGAGGAACTTTTCTACCATAAATGACAGTCTCAGTAAAGTGAATTTTATATATTTTAGCTAATCTAGTGATTGATTTAGATGGTAAGCTGTTTGTAGCAGTTTGGTTCAAGACATCAGAATTATATAAGATCATTGACAGGGATGTTTCAGAATTTTTTGTTCTATAGAGTTTAAGAAAGGATTCATCTTTTAAGAAAGTATATCATGAAGTATTAACGAAATATTTCAGAATATCTGTTTTCTATGGTGTACCCTGATGATAATATGCAATAATAGAAGATTGATAGGAGGCTTTTATAATAGAATATATGGTAATGCAGTAGTGTTTGCAGAGTGGTACAATGGCAGAGCAAAGTCAAACAAGAGAAGCCAGAAGAAAATGGTGGCAAAGAGAACATTCAAGTGCCTCAGCTGTACATGAGGCCGGAAATTGGTGTCATCATTTAGATGAGCAAGCACCACTGTTCACAATTCTAAGAAACAGAGATGAAATAGCTATACTTTTTGATAGGGTTTACATTATGCCCTGTTGTACTATGATTATTCCAACAAACGTAGTACCGTTAACAGCCCCAGATGAAACTGTATCATGGACCAAAAGTTGAAGGTCAAATTTCCATTTTAGAAAGAAACTCTAAATTGATTTATACTTGTAACACAAGAACACATTGATCATTACAAAGAAAAACTCTTGCGACTTTTCTTTTTGATTATAACCGATGGAATTGCTAAATAATAAGTTGCATGAATTTAGATCAATCAAATAATGATATTTCTGTGCAACGAGGGCAACAATGCATTCTAATCAATTTGTCCATTTAGATTGTATCCATGTGGGAGAATGATAAAAAAAAGGGAAGGAAGCGAAGACTTGACAAAAAACGGGATTTATAAAAAATGGGTTGGTACGGATATTAGTATGGATTGACACATATGTCTAACAGAAGCTAAGCCACTCTGAAGTAGGGCCTGGGCAACAGTAAGACCAAATGTCATACCACTAACATTGTAAATGCTATTCTACGGAAAACTATACACCATGTTCACAATTTTATGCTATTGAATTTCAGCTACTATAGTGGTCTTAGAACCAATGTAATAAATCCGAAAAGACCTAGAGCTCATGTGAAGAAACACACCATTGGTGCAATAAACAAGATCAAATATTACTTTGATTACAAACATGCCTAAATGAAATTTGGCAACAAGAGAAGCAATGCCTCTTAAGACACATGTTATGTTCAATGCTACCTCTTCCCATCTAATAACCAAACTTACCAAGCCTCATTCCATCAATTTGGAATTGATTCAATTGAATGTAATACTTGTTAGTATGTATGATTTAATTCCTATTTCTACGTGTTTGCTTAACTAAAAGATATGCATAATTTTTAGGTTGGAAACAAGAACACTTATTAGAGAGAGAGAGAGAGGTGTTCCCATGCCAAGATCTGCATAAGAAAATAAATTGAATCCAAATATATTTTAATATTAAATGCTAAATTATTCATCGTGTATTAACACGAGACTTATTTAAATTCAGTGGATGACACCTAGATTTAAGATATCTGATGTAATAGTAACACTATGAAACAAAAATATCTGCTGCATGTGGAAAAAACAAAAGGAAGAAAAAGAAGAAGAGAAGAATAACTCAAAGTTGCATCAAGAAGGTGGTTCAAACATTTGTAGATTTCTGACAAATCTTCTACTTGAACATTGGGGCAAATGCTCATTTTTTAGAAAAACGCTATGGTGAGATGTCGTTGAATGTTGCAGAGGTTTTTAATGCTTGGATTACGAAGGCACAACATTTACTTATTACTAGTATGGTTGATATTATAAGGAGCTAGATTATGGATCAGAGGAGTTGTAGGTTGAAAGCTTCTGACACTTGGTCGTCCAGATGTTTTGTAAGAACCAATTCATATATTGCTGCCATCATCTAAGCCTTAAACTGGATGTTCGAAGAAGCGAAGAATCAGGTCGAGGGGTAAACTCATTCATTGTGGGCATTTGAGTAGCCACAACAAGGAAACCTAAAATGTGTCATTGTGAACTTTTTTGTATGACATATTAATGACTTTGTCATTTTTTTTTTCTAAAAAAATTTAGTTTTCATTGATACATAGTATGATTTTTATCAAAGGCATAAATAAATGGGTTATCCCACTTTGATGTCAGACTATTAAAGTACTTGCTAATATGTGAAAAGTGGATTAGTGTCCACACCAGCATTGGATTAAAACTATGACAACACACTTAGTCAAATTATAATATGTCTTCTACATGCAGTGTGTCTATGAAGTCATAATATCATGATATAATTTGTCACACTTTTATCATGATATAATTTGTCACACCTCACATAAGTCACCCTGTGTGATACCCACCCCATACGGTACCCGCCCTGTGTGTTATCCACCTTGTGTAAAACACTTCATGTGATGTTTGTTGTATAGTGTGACATTAGAATCGCACTTAGATAACCACTCCATGCACCAACAATGCATATGCTGTGTAGTTTCATTGTAACATTGTATTCACACTGTGATACCCACCACGTGTTTTTTAATATTTATATGATTTGTATATGAAGTGTTACATTAGAGTCATAGTGTGATACCATCCATGTGAAAAAACATGTATATGGTGGCTATACGCAATGTGAAATTGATACCACATTGTGATGCCCACAATGTGTCAATCCATGTGTCACACTGTGATTATTTCCATATACAAAATCCTACATATGTTGTGTCTATATTGTAGACATTGACGTCACATTATAAAGCCCATAGTGGCCCACCCTGCATATATATTTTACAAGTAATGTGACATTAGCGTTAGAGTGACCAAACCATGTATATGGTGTGTGCATGCATTGTGACATTGGTGTCACACTCCAACTTCAATATGTTAAACTACAATGTCACACTGATCCACTCCAATGTCACACTAGTACCCACCATGTCATGGTACCCACCAATGTCATATTTGTACATACTAGTGTGGCACTGGTACAACCAACAAAAAAAGTGCATGTCCCATCACACAGTTAATCATTCCACACCTTGTTATCTAACGATTATATGAATATATCGTCATGAATAACTAAATCACATGTAAATAAGATTAAACATTATATTCAAGGTTCGCTAATCACATTTAGTTTGAATATTCCCAATTACAATTTGAATTATCAATCATTTATCCACAAATTTGCCTTTNCTAATCACATTTAGTTTGAATATTCCCAATTACAATTTGAATTATCAATCATTTATCCACAAATTTGCCTTTCAATTCTTGTCATACTTTGAAATCGTATTCTGTCCAAAGCTTTTGATGATTCAGGAATATTAACAGCATTTCACTTCGAAAGTCTTTTACTTGTGTTTGGGTCAACTTTTCTTCTACTTTTTCTCCTTTTGCTAAATTTTTTATAATGTAGCAAATATATATACCACAGTCAACCCTGCAATATGTGTTAAGTTAATGACATCTAATATGTTGTTCATTTAAATTAGAACTTAATAAAACACTTATGAGTTTGATTTTTGTTGTGGACTTCTTTCAAATGAGAGGATTGGTTAGACTATGTCTTGTGTGTCGAGGAAATTGCCACTAGCAAACATCAACTCTTTAATCTTGTCTTCTACATAATTTTTCTGCAATTATTAGCAATTAGTTAATTGTGGACATGATGAAAAATATATTTTAAAAAATATTGGGCTTTTAATTGGTTTACCAATATGATAGCATCTTCGAAGTATGCGTCCTTGCCACCCTTTGTCCTTAGGCGTAATGAGTTGTAGTATATCCAAATCCCTTCAATAGTGTCCAGTACAAGTTGTATCAAATGTTCTTGAACACTATTACACTCTGACCATTTGAATTCATTGGGAACACAAGGTAATGTGCCTCTACTCTAGGCAGGAGATGCTTGTCAATTTCCTCTTTTTGAGCTTCTACTAAATCTGTGTTCGTAATATGGGCTGCACATTGAAAAATATATAAATAAAACATGTCCAATGAAATTAATAGTTTATTTATTTATATCGAATGAATATACCTAGCATAGACTGTTAATGAATATACACCATTTGGTGAATATGGAGGATTCATCGCATTTGTTAAGCTCCATCAGCGTATCAGCACAAGTGTCTATGAATATTATAATACATTTTTTTTATTCAATATATCAATGAACTGATGAACATGTTCCTTTTTCGTATTTTCAAATTTAAAATTATATGTTATGTTAAATACCATTTTATCCAAAAAAATCACATGTACAATGTACAATTCAAGTCCGCCCATCACCTTCAGTGCATCTTCAATATTTATGTAACTTCCATGTCCAATTCTAGCCCATCTTTTTGCCCTACAATATTATCACATTACATGTTTAATGTCTTATTGTTCATTTGTCCGTCATCTTGCTTTACAACATTCAATATAAGCATACCACAATGAAAAGTGAAATATTTCACTGACAAATNATGTCTTATTGTTCATTTGTCCGTCATCTTGCTTTACAACATTCAATATAAGCATACCACAATGAAAAGTGAAATATTTCACTGACAAATGCATGGCGTGTATTTTGAACATAATTAAAACTAATTTTTCTTAGGAATGATGATTCTTTTGTGT